AGTGAGGAGGTGCCTAAGGTTGTCGGAGGATGACACCTAGTGGGTCACTCCGGAACTGCAACCCACTCCTGTAACAACAGATTCTGTCTAATTCAGTTCAATTGCCAGTGCAAACAGGAGGGGGGAGAGAGGACATCCCTGTCTTGTGCCACTTTCTAAAGCAATTTAATCAGATAATGTATTATTTATGTATATTTTTGCTTTAGGATATTTATACTGAACAAAAATGTAAAGTGTTGGTCCCATGTTTCATGAGCTGAAAGAAAAGATCCCAGAAATGTTCTTATACGCACAAAAAGCTTATTTATCTCAAATGTTGTGCACAAATTTGTTTACATCCCTGTTAGTGAGCATTTCTCCATTGCCAAGAGAATCCATCCACCTGAAGGGTATGTCATATCAAGAAGCTGATTAAATAGCATGATCATTACACAGGTGCACCTTGTGCTGGGGACAATAAAAGGCCATTCTAAAATCTGCAGTTATGTCACACAACACAATGCCACAAATGTCTCAAGTTTTGAGGGAGCGTGCAATTGGCATGCTGACTACAGGAATGCCCACCAGAGCAGGAATGTCCAGCTTCTTCACCTGCGGGATCATCTGAAACCAGCCACCCGGCCAGCTGATGAAACTGTGGGTTTGCATAAACTAAAAATGTCTACACAAACTGTCAGAAACCGTCTCAGGGAAGTTCATCTGCGTGCTCGTCGTCCTCACCAGGGTCTTGACCTGAATGCAGTTCGGCGTCATAACAAACTTCAGTGGGCAAATGCTCACCTCCACTGGCATGCTGGAGAAGTGTGCTCTTCACGGATGAATCCCGGTTTCAACTGTAACGGGCAGATGGCAGAAAGTGTGTATGGCATCATGTGGGCAAGCGGTTTGCTGATGTCAACGTTGTGAACAGAGTGCCCCATGGTGTCGGTGGGGTTATGGTATGGGCAGGCATAAGCTAAAGACAACGAACACAATTGCATTTTATCAATGGCAAGTTGAATGCACAGAGATACCGTGACGAGATCCTGAGGCCCATTGTAGTGCCATTCATCCACCGCCATCACCTCATGTTTCAGCATGATAATGCACGGCCCCATGTTCTAAGGCTCTGTACACTATTCCTGGAAGCTCAAAATGTCCCAGTTCATCCATGGCCTGTATACTCACCAGACATGTCACCACCCACTGAGCATATTTGGGATGTTCTGGATTGATGTGTACGACAGCGTGCTCCAGTTCCCACCAATATCCAGCAACTTTGCGCAGCCATTGAAGAGGAGTGGGACAACATTACACAGGCCACAATCAACAGCCTGATCAACTCTATGCGAAGGAGATGTGTCGCGCTGCATGAGACAAATAGCAAATGTATACAAAATAAAAAACAGAAATACCTTATTTACATAAGTATGCAGAGCCTTTGCTATGAGACTCGAAATTGAGCTCAGTTGCATCCTGTTTTCATGGATCATCCTTGAGATGTTTCTACTACTTGATTGGAGTCCACCTGTGGTAAATTCAATTAATTGGACATGATTTGGAAAGGCACACACCTGTCTATATAAGGTTCCACAGTTGACAGTGCATGTCAGAGCAAAAACCAAGCCATGAGGCCGAAGGAATTGTCCGTAGAGCTCCGAGACAGGATTGTGTCGAGGCACAGATCTCTGGAAGTTTGGAACCACCAAGACTTTTCCTAGAGCTGACCGCCAAGCCAAACTGAGCAATCGGAGGAGAAGGGCCTTGGTCAGGGAGGTGACCAAGAACCCGATGGTCACTCTGACAGAGGAGTACCTTCCAGAAGGACAACCATCTCTGCAGCACTCCACCAATCAGGCCTTTATGGTAGAGCGGCCAGATGGAAGCCACATCTTAAAAGGCACATGACAGCCCGCTTGGAGTTTTCCAAAAGGCACCTAAAGACTCTCAGACCATGAGAAACTAGATTCTCTGGTTTGATGAAACCAAGATTATACTCTTTGGCCTGAATGCCAAGCGTCACATCTGGAGGAAACCTGGGGATGTTTTTCACCGGCAGGGACTAGGAGACTAGTCAGGATCGAAGCAAAGATGAACGGAACAAAGTACAGAGAGATCCTTGATGAAAACCTGCTCCAGAGCGCTCAGGACCTCAGACTAGGGTGAAGGTTCACCTTCCAACAGAACAACGACCCTAAGCACACAGTCAAGGCAACGCAGAAGTGGCTTCGGGACAAGTCTCTGAATGTCCTTGAATGGCCCAGCCAGAGCCCGAACTTGAACCCGATCGAACATCTCTGGAGAGACCTGAAAATAGCTGTGCAGCAACGCTCCTCATCCAACCTGACAGAGCTCGAGAGGATCTGCAGAGAAGAATGGGAGAAACTCCCCAAATACAGGTGTGCCAAGCTTGTAGCGTCAGACCCAAGAAGACTCTACGCGGTAATCGCTGCCAAAGGTGCTTCAACAAAGTACTGAGTAAAGGGTCTGATTACTTACGTAAATGTGATATTTGCATAATGTGTCCAAACTTTTGACTGGTAGTGTGTGTGTGTGTGTATGTGTATATATATATATATATATATATATATATATATATATATATATATATATATATATATATATATATACTACCGGTCAATAGTTTTAGAACACCTACTCATTCCAGGGTTTTTCTTTATTTTTACTATTTTCTACATTGTATAATAATAGTGAAGACATCACAACTATGAAATAACACATATGGAATCATGTAGTAACCAAATAAAGTGTTAAACAAATCAAAATATATTTTATATTTGAGATTCTTCAAATAGCCACCCATTGCCTTGATGACAGCTTTGCACACTCTTGGCATTCTCTCAACCAGCTTCACCTGGAATGCTTTTCCAACAGTCTTGAAGGAGTTCCCACATATGCTGAGCACTTTTTGGCTGCTTTTCCTTCACTCTGCAGTCCGACTCATCCCAATCCATCTCAATTTGGTTGAGGTCGGGGGATTGTGGAGGCCAGGTCATCTGATGCAGCACTCCATCACTCTCCTTCTTGGTCAAATAGCCGTTACACAGCCTGGAGGTGTGTTGGGTCATTGTCCTGTTGAAAAACGAATGATAGTACCACTAATCCCAAACCAGATGGGATGGCGTATCGCTGCAGAATGCTGTGGTAGCCATGCTGTTAAAGTGTGCCTTGAATTCTAAATAAATCACAAACAGTGTCACCAGCAAAGCACCCCCACACCATAACACCTCCTCCTCCATGTTTTACGGTGAGAACTACACATGCGGAGATAATCCGTACACCCACACCGCATCTAACAAAGACACAGCGGTTTGAACCAAAAATCTCATATTTGGACTCCAGACAAAAGGACAAATTTCCACCTGTCAAATGTCCATTGCTCGTGTTTCTAGGCCCAAGCAGGTCTCTTCTTATTATTGGTGTCCTTTAGTAGTTGTTTCTTTACAGCATTTCGACCATGAAGGCCTGATTCACACAGTCCCTTCTGAACAGTTGATGTTGAGATGTGTCTGTTACTTGAACTCTGTGAAGCATTTATTTGGGCTGCAATTTCTGAGGCTGGTAACTCTAAAGAACTTATCCTCTGCAGCAGAGGTAACTCTGGGTCTTCCATTCCAGTGGCGGTCCTCATGAGAGCCAGTTTCATCATAGCGCTTGATGGTTTTTGCTGTTGCACTTGAAGAAATTTTCAAAGTTCTTGAAATGTTCCGTATTGACTGACCTTCAAGTCTTAAAGTAATGATGGACTGTCGTTTCTCTTTGCCTATTTGAGCTGTTCTTGCCATAATATGGACTTGGTCTTTTACCAAATAGGACTATTTTCTGTATACCCCACTACCTTGTCAAAACACAACTGATTGGCTCAAACGCATTAAGAAGGAAATAAATTCCATAAATTAACTTTTAACAAGGCACACCTGTTAATTGAAATGCATTCCAGGTGACTACCTCATGAAGCTGGTTGAGAGAATGCAAAGAGTGTGCAAAGCTGTCATCAAGACAAAGGGTGGCTATTTGAAGAATCTCAAATATAAAATATATTTTGATTTGTTTAACACTTTTTTGGTTACTACATGATTCCATATGTGTTATTTCATAGTTTTGATGTCTTCACTATTATTCTACAATGTACAAAATTGTAAAAATAAAGAAAAACCCTTGAATGAGTAGGTTTGTCCAAACTTTTGACTGGTAGTGTAACCGATCACTCACATTCTCCCACTTGCTTGATCGATTTTGAGGCTTGATTTATTATATTATATTATTGATTTAAACTTTGTTGTCTGGTTTCTACATATAACTTTAGTTTTGTCGGTACAAAACGGAGCTACTCACACCCAATGCGTCCTATCAGTATGCGTATGCGCCTCCCTACCAATAGATTCTGACGACTTCTGAGATTGACTGCCGGCACTCTGTTCAGAGGTTCTATCGTACTGTCAGCAGGCAAACGTTTCACAATCCTATCGGTGTGGGAACTTTATAGAGGGTTGCTTACACTTAGATAGTTAGGTAAAGATCAGACTACTACAGTGCAACCATTTTACTCGCACATGCGCCTAAATATTTTGCTGTGCGACCTGGAATTTTAATTGAGGAGCACCAGTGCGCCTAGAAAAATTAAGGATTCTAGCTTTAATACCTCAAATATTTTTAATTTTGCTCCTAAATGTATTTTTGTGCACATACATTTGTCAATTTAGGAGCACACGTGCACCTTTGTGAAAAAGGTCAGCTTAGAGCCCTGATACTTTCAAATACTTTGAAGTACACTTTATTTACCTTGCCTGGTACAATGGAACCAATGGAATAGTCCCAAAAGTGCAAACACCACCCACCCTGCATGTCGGTCAAGTTAAATGAAACGCACCTCAAGTATTTGACAATGTATTTGACCCAGGTGGGTCTGATAAATAAAAGATGAGGATAAAGGAGAGAAGGAAGTAGTAAACTTAGACTGCCTACAGTGGTACACTGCCTACATGGGGTTAGTGATGTTAGTTTGTGACCTGACCTTTGCTCTTGCAGTCCAGTCGGGGTGTGGGGAACAGGTAGTTATGGCAGGAGGTGGTGGCGTCAGGCTTGCATCTAATGGGGCTGGGCTGAAGAGGGTCTGTGGAGTCCCTCTGGTCCTCCCCTTGGGGGTCCGGGGGTGCGCTGGGGGGCTCCGACTCCAGACACAGCAGCTCTGGGTCCACCTGTCTCAGCTTCCTTGCCCCTCAGCCCAACCGGCTCTACACACCTGGGTGATGTTCAGTAGGTAATAGAGAAAATATTTTGAAACAGGAAGGTGCTATAGAAACTTCAAAAATGAGAACACAGATTTCTGTTGTCTGTTATATGAAGTATAGTGCACTAATTTCTACCAATACCCCAGATGTCACTTGGGACACATCTGTTGAACCCTGTGACACGTTCCAGTCCTACCCACCTGGCGTGGTTCCCCAGGTTACGGTGGCTGGGCACCTGCAGGGTGCGAACCAGACTTTCGAGTGTGCAGCGGCAACTCCAGGTGTTGTAATGGAGACGCAGGTAGCGAAGGGCTGGCATGAGGATGAGCGCCTCCTCGCTGAGTGTGCCCAGATGGTTGTGCTGCAGCAGGAGGGTGGTGAGGCGGGTCAGGCCCAGGAACGCACCTCCCTCCAACACTTAGATCCGGTTCTGCTGCAGGTCCAGACTTCTCAGGCCCTCGAAGCCAGAGAAGGCCCCATCATGGAGGGCCCGGATACGGTTACGGGCCAGCAGGAGGTGGTCTGGGAGGACTAGGAGAGCCAGGAGGAGAGGGGAGGTCACACGCCTCCTGAGCCCAGCTGGGGCTGTCTATCGCTGGGGAGAGCTGGAGCTGAAGCAGGGGGTGGGGTGAAGTTTTACTGGAAAACGGGAGGGGAGGGTTGCATGTTGACAGTGTCTGATATGATGGGATTCAGCTGCTGTCCCTGCAAAGAGGGAGAGAGGGCAGGAGAGAGAGGGGGAAAAGATGGAGTAGGGAGAGGAGTGAGATGAGGAGGAGGGAAAAAATACAGAGAGTGAGTGACTGGGAAAGAGAGAAAGTAGACAGATAATCTAAACAAAGGATGGCATGGCATTAAAGTAACTGTCCAGTGAAAATCTCACTTTTAAAAGTTAATGTTCTGTTAACTCATACCCAAATAATGTTGTTGACTCATCCTATACTCGTATTTGTGGCCAAAGCATAAATTGGAGAAAAAACACTTAAAAAACACCTGAAACAAGACAGTTAAAAAAATGATTGCTATTTCCTCATAGAGGATTATGTCATCCTCCTGAGGAGAATGAGCTGGCTGCATTTTAACATACTTAATTACTATTATTTGGAAATAACTATTTATAATAAATATAATATGCCATTTAGCAGACGCTTTTATCCAAAGCGACTTACAGTCGTGCGTGCATACATTTTTGTGTATGGGTGGTCCCGGGGATCGAACCCACTACCTTGGCGTTACAAGCGCCGTGCTCTACCAGCTGAGCTACACTCATATTGTAATTAATATAGGTCATATTTCATAGAAATCTAGAACCACTGGAGAGTTACTTTGAAGCATCACAGTGATTTAAATTGCAATATCTGAAATATTGTTTGATTTACATTCCTGCCTTTAGCATTTAGCTTATTTAGCTTACAATGTGTGACAGTAAATTCAGTTGACAGCATTAAGTCAATGTGTGTGGGAGATAAATAACTCATAAATAACTCTCACATTGACCTGGTGACTTAGATACACCACAGACCCCTCATAAATACAGTGTAGTAGTATGTCATCTATGGTCTTGTTGACTTTGAACCAAGTTCAAAGATGTTTTTCAAATAAACGTCCATAAACATTCCTCACAGTCTGTGATTTGTTTGTTGGTGTGTGTTTATGTGCATTTGCACTTGAGTATATGATTTAAAATAAAGCACACATCTGGAAACATCCTAATGTTTCTGCTGCTGCTTTTCTCTCCTCTATCTCTCTCTTTGTATCCCTCTCTTTCCCAGGTGAATGCAGAAACCTACAGGAGCTGAACCTGTCAGAGTGTTTCAACATTAAAGTGAGTAATGGCCAGGTCTACTCACGGGTACAAACTACCCTCTTATCTTATCTTCCAGGAGTGGAATAAAACCCAACTGTAGAACAGAAGGAAAGAATAAATAAAATATCCCTTTCATCTTTAGTTTATATGCTTTTCATTAATTCTCTCCATAGCAGTGATGGAATGGCACTGTTCTGAAGCTCATCACCACTCATGCAGAGAGAGTTGTAGTCAGATTATGAAATCAGGACCACATGTGGACTAGGGTGGAGTTGCTTCTCGTATAATGTGATTTACAGTTACGATTCATCTCTACTGATTACACAACATTCTTTAAATAACATAAAATGACTATGGATAATAGGAAAAACAATTCTACATTAAACGTTTTTTAAACATACAGTGCCTTCAGAAAGTATTCACACCCCTTGACTTTTTCCACATTTTGTTGTGTTACAGCCTGAATTTAAAATTGATTAAATGGAGTTGTTGTGTCACTGGCCTACACACTATACCCCATAATATCAAAGTGCAATTATGTTTGTAGAAATGTTTACAAATTAATAAGAAATGAAAAGCTGAAACGTCTTGCGTTAATAAGTATTCAACACATTTGTTATGGCAGTGGTGTGTATTCATGGATACCAAGGGAAGCCAGGCTTCCCCAAATATTTGACCAATAAAAACATTAAAATTATAAAATAATTTATCTTTCTGTGTTTTCATATTTTTCCGTCAATTCACAAGTGGCTGAATCTCACTGGAGAAATCATCAGAGCGAGATAAACAGTGTCTCTCTCTCTCTCAGTATGTGTAGCCCATGTATCTGATGCCATCTGGATCAAAAGAGTATGACATATTGCGGTTTGATTGACTGATGCCAGCAAGCATTTGACCTCCCTTGATAAAAAATATATAAAAGTATTAGCCAATCAGCGTTGAGCTAAGCTCAACTGTGGGTTGTCCTGGTGCTGCAAAACGCCCCCCAAGGGAGGCCAGTTTGGATTTGGCTTCACACCAATCAAATCACATCCTAAGCAAAACTTCAAACTTCTGGTCTGCTTGTGTTGATCTCCTGCAGCAGCTAGCTTGCTAAATTGTCCCTTTCCTAAGCCATGGATGGAGATGGGGATTTGGACTTGTGGTTTTGACTTCATTCTCTGTACAGGCCAATGATTATAACGGCGATTCTGATCTAACCATAAATGAATATGTTGTGGCACTGGCCTGAGACAGTTGAAGTTCAATATGTAGCCTGGCCCTTTTAGGCTCACGTTAATTAGCTAGCTAACTTAGCTGGTTCATTGTTGCCTATGCGAGGAAGTTAGGCTATCAAGCATTTTAGCTATGTAGCCTATGACAACAAAAACTAAAAGCGTACTGTATGACAGAGCCATAGACCGTTTTGCCAACATGACAGAGAGGAGGAGTCAAAAAAGAAGAATACTTGTGTGCACACACACACACACACACACACACACACACACACACACACACACACACAGAAATCAGTACCATGGAAAGCCACATGATATTTAGCAACATTGATTGGACTAAATTGTTTTTGGTATCTTTAAGTTGGTTTTCAGTGTATTAAACTAAGCCTTGTTGATTTGATGATGTTTAAGTTAAAATGGTGCTGAAATAGCAGAAGCAGTGCTGTCGAAAACAACTTCCTTGACCATGTTGCAGGTCGTATAACTGTTTGTTACATGCAGTATTTGCTTTGTGGATGTTGCTCTCTGGTTTTGTGATGAAACAAATGTATGTGTAGTTGAATTTATTCCGCCACTGTGTGACTGTTGTTTTTTTGTTGTCACAGCCTTATTGTATATCACGCAGGCCTATAAACGAATGGGTTATAGAACAAACAACGCAGTTATCACAACATAGGTTGTAATATGGATGTTTTTACTGGCTTGGCTTCCTCAGTGATTTTACCCACGCACCGCTACTGTGTTGTGGCAAGCCTAAATAAGTTCAGGAGTAAACATTTGCTTAGCTAGTCACATAATACGTTGCATAGACTCTGTGTGCAATAATAGTGTTTAACATGATTTTTGAATGACTAGCTCATCTCTGTACCCCACACATACAATTAGCTGCTATAGACCACCAAGTGCTAACAGTCAGTATCTGGATAATATGTGTGAAATGCTTGATAATGTATGTGATATCAACAGAGAGGTATATTTTCTGGGTGATTTAAATAATGACTGACTTTCATCAAGCTGCCCACTCAAGAAAAAGCTTCAAACTGTAACCAGTGCCTGCAACCTGGTTCAGGTTATCAGTCAACCTACCAGGGTAGTTACAAACAGCGCAGGAATGAAATCATCAACATGTATTGATCACATCTTTGTTAATGCTGCAGAAATTGGCTTTAAAGCAATATCCAAATCCATCATATGTAGTGATCACAATATAGTAGCCATATCTAGGAAAACCAAAGGCTGGGCCTAATATAGTGTATAAGAGGTCATACAATACGTTTTGTAGTGATTCCTATGTTGATGATGTAAAGAATATTTGATGGTCTGTGGTGTGTAATGAGGTGCAACCAGACGCTGCACTTGACACATTTATAAAATTGCTTATTCCAGTTACTAATACGCATGCACTCATTAAAATTACTGTAAAAACTGTAAAATCCCTGTGGTTAATGACAAATTAAAAATTGTATGGTTGAGAGGGATGAGGCAAAAGGAATGGTAAATAAGTCTGGCTGCACAACCGATTGGCAAACGTACTGCAAATTGAGAAATCATATGACTAAACTGAATAAAAAGAAGAAGAAACTATACTATGAAACAAAGATAAATTATATAAAGAATTATAGTAAAAAGCTTTGGAGCACCTTAAATGAAATTTCGAGCAAAAAGGCAAACTCAGCTCCATCATTCATTGAATCAGATGGCTCATTCATCACAAAACCCACTGATATATTTTTTTCATTGGCAAGATTAGCAAGCTTAGGCATGACATGCCAGAAACAAACGCTGACACTACACATCCAAGTATAACTCATCAAATTATGAAAGACAAGCATTATCATTTTGAATTCCGTAAAGTGAGTGTGGAAGAGGTAAAAAAAGTATTGTTGTCTATCAACAATGACAAGCCACCGGGGTCTGACAACTTGGATGGAAAATTACTGAGGATAATAGCGGATGATATTGCCACTCCTACTTGCTATATCTTCAGTCAGAGCCTACTAGAAAGTGTGTGCCCTCAGGCCCGGAGGGAAGCAAAAGTCATTCCATTATCCAAGAATAGTAAAGGCCTGTAAGGGTTGGTGTGAGGTGTGACCCAGTTGCAGTGCAGGATAGACAGTAGGCAGAGATGGTGAAACAAGGATCTTTACTTGTGGTCCCGAAGCCAGGATACAAAACAATAGACTTAACACGATAAAAGAAAGGTGGAGCAAATAAGTCTACAAAAACCGTCTGACAGCCAAAATACGGAATAGTAACTACGACTGAAATAATAAAGAAACGGGGAGAACACTTCTCGAGTACCTGTACATACTTCTCCAATCAGACACTGATTAGTACTGCTGAGCATAGAGAAACTAGCAGAGAAAACTGAGCAAGGGAACACAGGGAAGTGAGGGCATAAATACACAGGTGAACAGGTAGACACAGGTGACACCAATAGGATGATGATTAGTCCAGACTGTGAGTAAGGAGGTGCCTAAGGTTGTCGGAGGATGACACCTAGTGGGTCGCTCCGGAACTGCGACCCCCTCCTGTAACTGCGACCCCCTCCTGTAACAAAGGCCGCTTTACTGGCTCAAATAGCCAACCAATCAGCCTGTTACCAACCCTTAGTAAACTTGGGAAAAATGGTGTTTAACCAGATACAATGCTATTTTACTGTAAACAAATTGACAACAGACTTTCAGCACGCTTATAGGGAAGGACATTCTTCAAGCACGGCACTTACACAAATGACTGATGATTGGCTGAGAGAAATTGATAATAAAAAGATTGTAGGAGCTGTTTTGTTAGACTTCAGTGCGGCTTTTGACATTATCGATCATAGTCTGCTGCTGGAAAAACGTATGTGTTATGGCTTTACTCCCCCTGCTATATGGTGGATAAAGAGTTACCTGTCTAACAGAACACAGAGGGTGTTCTTTAATGGAAGCCTGGACCAACATAATCCAGGTAGAATCAGGAATTCCACAGGGCAGCTGTCTAGGCCCCTTACTTTTTAAAATCTTTACTAATGACATTGAGTAAAGCCAGTGTGTCTATGTATGTGGATGACTCAACACTATACACGTCAGCTACTACAGGGAGTGAAATCACCGCAACACTTAAAAAAGAGCTGCAGTTAGTTTCAGAATGAGTGGCAAGGAATAACTAAGTCCTAAATATTTCAAAAACTAAAAGCATTATCTTTGGGAAAAATCATTCACTAAACCTCAACTAAATCTTGTAATAAATAATATGAAAATTGAGCAAGTTGAGGTGACTAAACTACTTGGAGTAACCCTGGATTTTAAATTGTTATGGTCAAAACATGTTGATATAGCAGTAGCTAAGATGGGGATAAGTCTGTCCATAATAAAGCGCTGCTCTGCCTTCTTAACAACACTATCAACAAGGCAGGTCCTACAGGCCCTAGTTTTGTCGCACCTGGACTACTGTTCAGTTGTGTGGTCAGGTGCCACAAAGAGGGACCTCGGAAAATGGCAATTGGCTCAGAACAGGGCAGCACGGCTGGCTCTTAAATGTACACGGAGAGCTAACGTTAATAATATGCATGTAAATCTCTCATGGCTCAAAGTGAAGGAGAGATTGACTTCATCACTACTTGTTTTTGTAAGAAGTGTTGACATGCTGAATGCACCGAGGTGTCTGTTTTAAACTACTGGCACACAGCTCGGACACCCATGCATATCCCACAAGACGTCACCAGAGGTCTCTTCACAATCCCCAAGTCAAGAACAGACTATGGGAGGCGCACAGTACTACATAGAGCCATGACTACATGGAACTCTGTTCCACATCAGATAACTGATGCAAGCAGTAGAATCAGATTTTAAAAAAAAAACATAATACACCTTATGGAACAGTGGGGACTGTGAAGAGAAACACACACAGGAACAGACACGCATACGCACACACACGCTAGAACACGCACACGTACATTGTAATATTGTTGTATGGTGGTATTATACATTTTGTATTGTAGATATGTAGTGGTGTAATAATGTCATATGATGTACTGTTTTATCTTTTGTTTTATGTGTGATGTGCCTTAATGTGTTTGGACCCCAGGAAGAGTAGCTGCTAATGGGTATCCCTAAGAAATACAAATACAAATCTGTAAGGTCCCTCAGTCGAGCAGTGAATTTCAAACACAGATTCAACCACAAAGACCAGAGAGATTTTCCAATGCCTCGCAAAGAAGGGTAAAAATAAAAAAGCAGACATTGAATATCCCTTTGAGCATGGTGAAGTTATTAGTTACACTTTGGATGGTGTATCAATGCACCCAGTCACTACAAAGATACAGGTGTCCTTCCTAACTCAGTTGCCGGAGAGTAAAGAAACTGCTCAGGGTTTTCACCATGAGGCCAATGGCGACATTAAAACAGTTACAGAGTTTAATGGCTGTGATAGGAGGAAACTGAGGATGGATCAACAACATTGTAGTTACTCCACAATACTAACCTAAATGACAGAGTGAAAAGAAGCAAGCCTGTACAGAATAACAAATATTCCAAAACATGCATCCTGTTTGCAACAAGGCACTAAAGTAATACGACAAATAATGTGGCAAAGCAATTAACTTTTTGCCTTCAATACAAAGTATTATGTTTGGGGAAAATCCAATAGAAAACATTACTGAGTACCCATCTCCATGTTTTCAAGCATAGTGGTGGCTGCTTCATGTTATGGGTATGCTGGTAATCGTTAAGGACTGGGGAGACTGGTTCAGTCTGCTTTCCAACAGACACTGAGAAATGAATTCACCTTTCAGCAGGACAATGACCTAAAACACAAGGCTAAATCTACACTGGAGTTGCTTACCAAGAGGAGAGTGAATGTTCCTGTTCTGAGTTACAGTTTTGACTTACAGTGAGGGAAAAAGGTATTTGATCCCCTGCTGATTTTGTACGTTTGTCCGCTGACAAAGAAATGATCAGTCTATAAATTTAATGGTAGGTTTATTTGAACAGTGAGAGACAGAATAACAACAACAAAATCCAGAAAAACGCATGTCAAAAATGTTATAAATTGATTTGCATTTTAATGAGGGAAATAAGTATTTGACCCCCTCTCAATCAGAAAGATTTCTGGCTCCCAGGTGTCTTTTTTACAGGTAACGAGCTGAGATTAGGAGCACACTCTTAAAGGGAGTGCTCCTAATCTCAGTTTGTTACCTGTATAAAAGACACCTGTCCACAGAAGCAATTCATCAATCAGATTCCAAACTCTCCACCATGGCCAAGACCAAAGAGCTCTCCAAGGATGTCAGGGACAAGATTGGAGACCTACACAAGGCTGGAATGGGCTACAAGACCATCGCCAAGCAGCTTGGTGAGAAGGTGACAACAGTTGGTGCGATTATTCGCAAATGGAAGTAACACAAAAGAACTGTCAATCTCCTTCGGCCTGGGGCTCCATGCAAGATCTCACCTCGTGGAGTTGCAATGATCATGAGAACGGTGAGGAATCAGCCCAGAACTACACGGGAGGATCTTGTCAATGATCTCAAGGCAGCTGGGACCATAGTCACCAAGAAAACAATTGGTAACACACTACGCTGTGAAGGACTGCAATCCTGCAGCGCCCGCAAGGTCCCCCTGCTCAAGAAAGCACATATACAGGCCCGTCTGATGTTTGCCAATGAACATCTGAATGATTCAGTGGAGAACTGGGTGAAAGTGTTCAGATGAGACCAAAATGGAGCTCTTTGGCATCAACTCAACTCGCCGTGTTTGGAGGAGGAGGAATGCTGCCTATGACCCCAAGAACACCATCCCCACCGTCAAACATGGAGGTGGAAACATTATGCTTTGGGGGTGTTTTTCTGCTACGGGGACAGGACAACTTCACCGCATCAAAGGGACGATGGACGGGGCCATGTACCGTCAAATCTTGGGTGAGAACCTCCTTCCCTCAGCCAGGGCATTGAAAATGTGTCGTGGATGGGTATTCCAGCATGACAATGACAAAACACACGGCCAAGGCAACAAAGGAGTGGCTCAAGAAGAAGCACATTAAGGTCCTGGAGTGGCCTAGCCAGTCTCCAGACCTTAATCCCATAGCAAATCTGTGGAGGGAGCTGAAGGTTCGAGTTGCCAAACGTCAGCCTCGAAACCTTAATGACTTGGAGAAGATCTGCAAAGAGGAGTGGGACAAAATCCCTCCTGAGATGTGTGCAAACCTGGTGGCCAACTACAAGAAACGTCTGACCTCTGTGATTGCCAACAAGGGTTTTGCCACCAAGTACTAAGTCATGTTTTGCAGATGGGTCAAATACTTATTTCCCTCATTAAAATGCAAATCAATTTATAACATTTTTGACGTGTTTTTCTGGATTTTTGTGTTGTTATTCTGTCTCTGACTGTTCAAATAAACCTACCATTAAAATTATAGACTGATCATGTATTTGACAGTGGGCAAACGTACAAAATCAGCAGGGGATCAAATACTTTTTTCTATCACTGTACATCTACTTGAAAATCTATGGCAAGACCTGAAAATGGTTCTCTAGCAATGATTAACAACCAATTTGACAGAGCTTGAAGAATTTTGAAAATAATAATGGGAAAATGGTGCACAATCCAGGTGTGGAAAAAATCTTATAGACTTACCCAGAAAGACTCATAGCTGTAATCGCTGCCAAACGTGCTTCTACAAAGTGTTGACTCAGGGGTGTGAATACTTCTGTAAATTAGATATTTATGTATTTCATTTTCAATAAATGTGCAAACATTTCTGAAACATGTTTTCACTTTGTCATTATGGGGTATTGTTTGTATATGGGTGAGAGAAAAAATCAGGCTGTAACACAACAAAATGTGGAATAAGTCAAGGGGTATGAATACTTTCTGAAGTACCAGGCTCACTGTACCAGGCTCATCTAGGTGGTTGCAGCTGTTGGTGATTTTCTTTACATGCCTTTGGCCACAGCGGAATACCATGAAAAATATATTGTTGTTAGTTTAGTGGTAACCTTGTGTTGTCCTTCACCAGGATGAGATGGTGCGTATGATTCTAGAAGGCTGCCCCACTCTGCTCTACCTGAACCTGTCCTTCTCATATGTGACCAACGGGACTCTCAGAGAGCTCTCCAGGTAAACACCCATAGACCACAGCTACTCCAGTGATGGAAAAGGTTTCCCATTTCATTAGAACACAGTGTATGCACAGTAAAGCAGTTATTGTTTCAGGTCCATGGGTTAATGTCAGTTGACATTGAGGACTGCTTTTACCACCTCTTGTCTGCAAAGCCTTTATAAGGGCCTGTTATTGTTCCCTCTGTGCTGAAGTACCCATTGGCCCAAGCAGACAGAGCCTGCACACTCTTTCTCTCTCTCATCTCCTAATCTAGGAGATGGGTCTCTCCTCTCTCTCTCTCTCTCTCTCTTCTGAATGGAAAATAGTCACTTAAATCCCAGGCCATCGCTATTACTCATGTCATAATCAGTTAGGATTACCCAATACTGTTATCCCAGTGATGTAGTGGGATGATGTGGCACGCCGAAACAGAAATACTGAGAGGAACAGAGAGAAACAGATTGAGAAATAGAGAAGCCAAACGTTTGTGTGTGTGCGCACATGCAGGACCTTGACCATGTTTCTTTGTATCCTTTGTATCCAAAGAATGTTACACCTGAAAGCAATTCCATAGGCTCCGTTTTTTTAAAAACCTTATGAGCTTATAGACTAGAAATCATTGGAACCTAGCAGTGTGAAAATGCTTCACAGACCTGGCTGAGAATTAACCTGGAGAAATAGTCTTATTTCATTTAAACTCCAAAGACGTTCAACCCTCAGCTGCTGCTGTCAACACATGCCTACACTCCGCTCTCTCTCTATGGCAGTCCCTTCTCTCCTCCTCTCTGTCTCTCTGTCCATCCTTCATCTCTGCTGTTCTTGTGGGATTTCTCTTGATTAACAATGTCTAAACTCAGGTTTAGAAGGAAAAGCTTCTCCCAATCAGATGCCACAGTCAATTTACAACTCTGCCTACCTCACGTCTCACCAACCCGCTCAACCCCTTTCCTGCCATCCTACCTTGGTCGTTCAACTGGTGCATCCCAGCCAGAAGTCAAATAATCATTAATATCCTCGCTACCCAACCCCCACACCTTCACAAACTGAAGATTGTGAGAAGACTTGAACTAGTGAAATCAGGCTGATAACAGGCTGCGGGTGCACATTGGCTTTAGAAATACTCTGGAGTATTACTTTTCCAATACAAATCATAGAGCTTTAGAGGTGCCTTTAGCACATCCAGTATGGATATGAGGCTAATACACAACCATCTCTGTCTGTCCAGGAGCTGTCTGAACCTACAGTACCTGAGTCTAGCATGCTGCCGTAAGTTCACTGATAAAGGCTTACAGTACCTGGCCTCAGGGAAGGGCTGCCACAAGCTCATCCACCTCGACCTCTCTGGCTGCACTCAGGTCAGTTCGAGAGAGAGAGAGAGAGAGAGAGAGAGAGAGAGAGATAGAGAGAGAGAGAGAAGAGAGAGGAGAGAGCAGAGAGAGAGAGAGAGAGAGAGAGAGAGAGAGAGAGAGATGAGAGAGAGAGAGAGAGAGAGAGAGAGAGAGAGAGAGAGAGAGAGAGAGAGAGAGAGAGAGAGGAGAGAGAGAGAGAGAGAGAGAGAGAGAGAGAGAGAGAGGAATTCGTTTTAAATTACAAAATGTACACCCTCTCCGTCTCTCTCTCACCCCCCTACTCTCTAATGTACTCTGTGTGTGGTGTTTTGTCCCTGCAGATCTCAGTGGATGGTTTCAGGTACATAGCAGCGGGCTGCCCACTGCTCCAGCAGATAGTCTTCAATGACATGCCTACTCTGTCAGACAGCTGTGTGCTGGTACGTATGGAGCTACCAGACAACTCATTTAGGGAGTAAGATCATATTTTTTTTACCATTGGCTACCTGTGTCTTTAATGAATGAATGGACCTCTGCCTGTCACTCAGTCTGGTTTCGTCCAATAGGAGCTGGCCTCTAAGTGTCAGTCTCTGTCTGCCATCTCCCTATGGGACACGCCCCATCTCTCAGACTCCGCCTTCAAAGCCATCGCTGAGGTGGCCAACCTCACCAAGTTCAGCGTTGATGGTGAGTGTGTGTCATGTCCCATGTCTGTCTACTAGTGTTATTTAGTTGTCTTGGCAACGATCATTGTGGTGAGTCTCGTTGCCAGGGTGAAGTCTACAGGGGCTCTGATTGGTCTGTGACATCAAACCATGATGCAGCAGCCAGCAGGTCATGTTGTTGGTCAACCCTAAAACTTTTGCTATCCTCTAACTCTTGGCCTTATACAGTGCTGTATCTGGCACAGGTCACTGTTAAGTGATTAGCCAATGATTATAGCTCTTCAGCCAAAGGAGATGATCAGTTTGTTTCTGAAGATGTGATTAGACATGTAAGACAAATGATTAATGTAAGACAAATGTCAACACACGCACTTTGTTTGTTATGGTGCGTGTTATGACAGTATTATCTGTGTGTTTTTGTAGGTAATAGTCGTATGTCAGACATCAGTTGGAGGGCTCTGTGTCGTAGCTCTCCAGGCCTTACTAGACTCCATGCTGCTGACTGCCCTAGAATGACTGACTCCAGCCTCAAGTCTATGGGCGCCCTCAAAAACCTGGTCTACCTCAACATCTCACACTGCAGCAGGTGTGTGTGCACGCGTGTGTTCTGTCTCTACGTTAGATGATATCGGGCTGCGGTACCTGACTGCTTGTGTGTGTGTGCCCGTGTGTGTTCGTTTGTTGCAGGGTGAGTGACATGGGGCTGCGGTACCTGACTGAAGGGCCTTCTGCCTCTAAACTGAGGGAGCTGAATCTGAGCAACTGCAGCCGCATCAACGACTTAGCTATCATGAGGGTGGCTCAGAAGTAAGGTCATATACAGAGCCTTCGGAAAGTACTCAGACCCCTTGACTTTTTCCACATTTTGTTACGTTACAGCCTTATTCTAAAATTGATTAAATTGTTTTTTTTCTCTCATCGATCTACACACAATACTCCATAATGACAAATCAAAAATATTTTTTCAGATTCTTTTACAAAATTATTACAAATAAAAAACGGAAATATCACATTTACATAAGTATTCAGACCCTTTGTTGGAGCACCTTTGGCAGCGATTACAGCCTCAAGTCTTCTTGGGTATGAAGCTACAAGCTTGGCATACCTGTATTTGGGGAGTTTCTCCCATTCTTCTCTGCAGATCCTCTCAAGATTTGTCAGGTTGGAAGGGGAGCGTCGCTGCATAGCTATTTTCAGGTCTCTCCAGAGATGTTCAGTCGGGTTCAAGTCAGGGCTCTGGCTGGGCCACTCAAGGACATTCAGAGACTTGTCCCAAAGCCACTCCTGTGTTGTCTTGGCTGTGTGCTTAGGGTCATTGTCCTGTTGGAAGGTGAACCTTCGCCCCAGTCTGAGGTCCTGAGTGCTCTGGAGCAGGTTTTCATCAAGGATCTCTCTGTACTTTGTTCCATTCATCTTTCCCTCGATCCTGACTAGTTTCCCAGTCCCTACTGCTGAAAAACATCCCCACAGCACAGGATGGTGCCAGGTTTTCTCCAGACGTGATGCTTGGCATTCAGGCTAAAGAGTTCAATCTTGGTTTCATCAGACCAGAGAATCTAGTTTCTCATGGTCTGAGAGTCCTTTAGGTGCCTTTTGGCAAACTCCAAGCGGGCTGTCATGTGCCTTTTACTGACGAGTGGTTCCGTCTGGCTACTCTACCATAAAGGCCTGATTGGTGGAGTGCTGCAGAGATGGTTGTCGTTCTGGAAGGTTCTCCCATCTCCACAGGGGAACTCTGGAGCTCTGTCAGAGTGACCATCGGGTTCTTGGTTACCTCCCTGACTAAGGCCCTTCTCCCCCGATTGCTCAGTTTGGCCGGGTGGCCAGCTCTAGGAAGAGTCTTGGTGGTTCCAAACTTCTTCCATTTAAGAATGATGGAGGCCACTGTGTTCTTGGGGACCTTCAATGCTGCAGACATGTTTTGGTACCCTTCCCCAGATCTGTGCCTCGAAACAGTCCTGTCTTGGAGCTCTACGGACAATTCCTTCGACCTCATGGCTTGGTTTTTGCTCTGACATGCACTGTCAACTGTGGGACCTTATATAGACAGATGTGTGCCTTTCCAAATCATGTCCAATCAATTCAATTTACCACAGGTGGACTCCAATCAAGTTGTAGAAACATCTCAAGGATGATAAATGGAAACAGGATGCACCTGAGCTCAAGTCTCATAGCAAAGGGTCGGAATACTTATGTAAATAAGGTATTTGTGTTGTTAATTTTTTTAAATTTGCAAACATTTCTAAACACCTGTTTTTGCTCTGTCATTATGGGGTATTGTGAGTAGATTGATGAGGAAAATATTTTATTTAATCCATTTTACAATAAGGCTATAACGTAACAAAATGTGGAAAAAGTCAAGGGGTTTGAATACTTTCCGAATGCACTGTAAACTCACACGCACATACACACAGACACGCACGCACACACACACACATGCATATATTACACACTGACAGACTGGCATGGTGTGTGTGTACAGGTGCAGTAAGCTGAACCACCTGAGTGTGGCTTACTGTGATAACTTGTCTAATTCTGGTCTGGAGTGGCTCAGTAGCTGTTCCTCTCTCCTCTCTCTGGACATCAGTGGCTGCAACATCATGGACCAGGTAATGCTCCCTTACCTTGCCGTGTATGTGTGTCGTATTACAGTTAGCTATCTAAAACACTCCAACAACATAACTCGTGTTTTCAGGGGCTGATTGCTCTGGGTGGGAACCCTGGCCTGAAGAAGCTGGTTGCCTCTGAGTGTGTCTGGATCACTGACATTGGCATAGAGGTACTATGTTTACTTTGTGTTCTGCAGTCTGCACAGTACCTTTTGACTGTCTGTGACCCCTCATTGAAAGAATGTTAAAGGAATTCACTTCTTAAAGTAACGTTCCTTCTCCTCTTCCTCTTCTCCTGCTCTCCCTGTGAAAGCAGAAGTTCTGCAGGCAGGCAAGAGGTCTGGAGTATATGGACGTGTCTCACTGTGTAGCTCTGTCTGACCAGGCCATCAAGGCCCTGTCCTTCTACTGCAGGACTATAGTCACGTTACGCATGCCTGGCTGCCCAAAGGTATATACACACACACACACACACACACACACATACACATACACACACTTACCAAAATATCGTGCCTATTGTCTATGCACTCCTCCTATCAGATGACAGACCTGGCGGTACAGTACCTGACAGTAGGGCGTCACTTCCTGAGAGAGCTGGACGTGAGTGGCTGTGTTCTCCTGACTGATCGCACACCACGCTTCCTACAGACAGGCTGCCCACAGCTCAACACCATCAACATGGTCTACTGCAGGGGAATATCCAAGTAAGACACACATGCACACACTTCAACTGAACAACATGTCCAGAAGCTAAAGATGTAACACTGGGAGCACAGTAACGACGTGTGTGTGTGTGTGTGTGTGTGTGTGTGTGTAGGCAGGCGGCTCTGAGGCTCCAGCCCTGTGTTGAGAAGTGGGAGCACAGTAACGATGACGCCCCCTACTGGTTTGGCTATGACAGTCTTGGCCAGCTGCTGCAGCCAATCGGACGACCCGACAAGATCCAGGACACCTGGGAGGAAGAGGAGCCTGCACCAAGAAACAACAACAAAAAGAGGAATTCGATAAAGGCCTGTGGAGAGGACTACGATTACACAGCATGAATACACACAGTCCATGCAGACAAACAAACACATGCACAAGGACTGAGTTTATACAGTACACACACCACCTCACAATCTAAGGTAAATCAAATCCCTAACACATACACTGCACCTTACATTAACTCTAGCTCAGATATCAAGCGCTGGAAGGGAATGGCCAAAGATGAATAACCACAAAACAGATTATTTTAGGGGAGGAAATATTTTATATCTGAGCATCAATGCAGTATATACATTTATGCAGTATACAGTGGGGAAAAAAAGTATTTAGTCAGCCACCAATTGTGCAAGTTCTCCCACTTAAAAAGATGAGAGAGGCCTGTAATTTTCATCATAGGTACACGTCAACTATGACAGACAAAATGAGAAAAAAAAATCCAGAAAATCACATTGTAGGCGTTTTAATTAATTTATTAGCAAATTATGGTGGAAAATAAGTATTTGGTCAATAACAAAAGTTTCTCAATACTTTGTAATATACCCTTTGTTGGCAATGACACAGGTCAAACGTTTTCTGTAAGTCTTCACAAGGTTTACACACACTGTTGCTGGTATTTTGGCCCATTCCTCCATGCAGATCTCCTCTAGAGCAGTGATGTTTTGGGGCTGTCGCTGGGCAACACAGACTTTCAACTCCCTCCAAAGATGTTCTATGGGGTTGAGATCTGGAGACTGGCTAGGCCACTCCAGGACCTTGAAATGCTTCTTACGAAGCCACTCCTTCGTTGCCCGGGCGGTGTGTTTGGGATCATTGTCATGCTGAAAGACCCAGCCACGTTTCATCTTCAATGCCCTTGCTGATGGAAGGAGGTTTTCACTCAAAATCTCATGATACATGGCCCCATTCATTCTTTCCTTTACACGGATCAGTCGTCCTGGTCCCTTTGCAGAAAAACAGCCCCAAAGCATGATGTTTCCACCCCTATGCTTCACAGTAGGTATGGTGTTCTTTGGATGCAGCTCACCATTCTTTGTCCTCCAAACACGACGAGTTGAGTTTTTACCAAAAAGTTATATGTTGGTTTCATCTGACCATATCACATTCTCCCAATCCTCTTCTGGATCATCCAAATGCACTCTAGCAAACTTCAGACGGGCCTGGACATGTACTGGCTTAAGCAGGGGGACACGTCTGGCACTGCAGGATTTGAGTCCCTGGCGGCATAGTGTGTTACTGATGGTAGGCTTCGTTACTTTGGTTCCAGCTCTCTGCAGGTCATTCACTAGGTCCCCCCGTGTGGTCCTGGGATTTTTGCTCACCGTTCTTGTGATCATTTTGACCCCACAGGGTGAGATCTTGCGTGGAGCCCCAGATCGAGGGAGATTATCAGTGGTCTTGTATGTCTTCCATTTCTTAATAATTGCTCCCACAGTTGATTTCTTCAAACCAAGCTGCTTACCTATTGCAGATTCAGTCTTCCCAGCCTGGTGAAGGTCTACAATTTTGTTTCTGGTGTCCTTTGACAGCTCTTTGGTCTTGGCCATAGTGGAGTTTGGAGTGTGACTGTTTGAGGTTGTGGACAGGTGTCTTTTATACTGATAACAAGTTCAAACAGGTGCCATTAATACAGGTAACGAGTGGAGGACAGAGGAGCCTCTTAAAGAAGAAGTTACAGGTCTGTGAGAGCCAGAAATGTTGCTTGTTTGTAGGTGACCAAATACTTATTTTCCACCATAATTTGCAAATAAATTCATTAAAAATCCTACAATGTGATTTTCTGGATATTTTTTCCTCTATTTGTCTGTCATAGTTGACGTGTACCTATGATGAAAATTACAGGCCTCTCTCATCTTTTTAAGTGGGAGAACTTGCACAATTGGTGGCTGACTAAATACTTTTTTTCCCCACTGTATACAGTATGCAAAGCTTCTGCATCAAACTGTTTCAACTGAGTGGGAGAAAGGTCAAAGCCATCTTCTATGCATTGCAACACAAGACAGATTGAATTTCATAATTACATCATATAGCAAACAGTTCTTGCTTGGAAATAATCATAAAAAATAAATGTCCTCGATATGATTTGATTTCTTTGTCAGTGTTGATGTCAACACTTTCTCCAGTTTTTTTATTTACAGTAAATTGAACCTTGAAATTGTTTTGCTTGTGTTTCAGATTATTTTGTGCCCAATAGAAATGAATGTTAAATAATGTATTGTGTCATTTTGCAGTGTCAATGAGTGAAGTTAGAGGGTCAAAGATCATACCCCCAAGACATTCTAACCTCCCCTGTTATTGGTAATGGTGAGAGGTTAGCATGTCTTGGGGGTATGATCTTTGACTCTCTGTAACTTTACATTATTTATCATTCATTTCTATTGGGCACAAAATTATCTGAAACTGAACCAAATAATTTCGGACCCCACTGTATATACCTTTTGTCCCTGAGGATGTAGTACAGTATGTAGACAGGAGGTAAGAAGGACACATTTTTGAAAGTGTTGGCCTGGGAGTGAAGCCTAAGCTTTTATTTCACCTTTATTTCACCTTTATTTAACCAGGTAAGCCAGTTGAGAACAAGTTCTCATTTACAACTGCGACCTGGCCAAGATAAAGCAAAGCAGTGCGATAAAAACAACAACACAGAGTTACATATGGGGTAAAACAAAACATAAAGTTAAAAATACCACAGAAAATATATATATAGTGTGTGCAAATGTAGCAAGTTATGGAGGTAAGGCAATAAATAGGCCATAGTGCAAAAATAATTACAATTAGTATTAACACTGGAATGATAGATGTGCAAGGGATGATGCGCAAATAGAGATACTGGGGTGCAAATTAGCAAAATAAATAACAATATGGGGATGAGGTAGTTGAGTGGGCTAATTTCAAAAGGGCTGTGTACAGGTGCAGTGATCGGTAAGGTGCTCTACAACTGATGCTTAAAGTTAGTGAGGGAGATAAGAGTCTCGAGCTTCAGAGATTTTTGCAGTTCGTTCCAGTCATTGGCAGCAGAGAACTGGAAGGAATGGCGGCCAAAGGAGGTGTTTGCTTTGGGGATGACCAGTGAGATATACAGTGGGGAACAAAAGTATTTAGTCAGCCACCAATTGTGCAAGTTCTCCCACTTAAAAAGATGAGAGAGGCCTGTAATTTTCATCATAGGTACACGTCAACTATGACAGACAAATAGAGGAAAGAATATCCAGAAAATCACATTGTAGGATTTTTAATGAATTTATTTGCAAATTATGGTGGAAAATAAGTATTTGGTCACCTACAAACAAGCAACATTTCTGGCTCTCACAGACCTGTAACTTCTTCTTTAAGAGGCTCCTCTGTCCTCCACTCGTTACCTGTATTAATGGCACCTGTTTGAACTTGTTATCAGTATAAAAGACACCTGTCCACAACCTCAAACAGTCACACTCCAAACTCCACTATGGCCAAGACCAAAGAGCTGTCAAAGGACACCAGAAACAAAATTGTAGACCTTCACCAGGCTGGGAAGACTGAATCTGCAATAGGTAAGCAGCTTGGTTTGAAGAAATCAACTGTGGGAGCAATTATTAAGAAATGGAAGACATACAAGACCACTGATAATCTCCCTCGATCTGGGGCTCCACGCAAGATCTCACCCTGTGGGGTCAAAATGATCACAAGAACGGTGAGCAAAAATCCCAGGACCACACGGGGGGACCTAGTGAATGACCTGCAGAGAGCTGGAACCAAAGTAACGAAGCCTACCATCAGTAACACACTATGCCGCCAGGGACTCAAATCCTGCAGTGCCAGACGTGTCCCCCTGCTTAAGCCAGTACATGTCCAGGCCCGTCTGAGGTGCATTTGGATGATCCAGAAGAGGATTGGGAGAATGTCATATGGTCAGATGAAACCAAAATATAACTTTTTGGTAAAAACTCAACTCGTCATGTTTGGAGGACAAAGAATGCTGAGTTACATCCAAAGAACACCATACCTACTGTGAAGCATGGGGTTGGAAACATCATGCTTTGGGGCTGTTTTTCTGCAAAGGGACCAGGACGACTGATCCGTGTAAAGGAAAGAATGAATGGGGCCATGTATCGTGAGATTTTGAGTGAAACCCTCCTTCCATCAGCAAGGGCATTGAAGATGAAACATGGCTGGGTCTTTCAGCATGACAATGATCCCAAACACACCGCCCGGGCAACGAAGGAGTGGCTTCGTAAGAAGCATTTCAAGGTCCTGGAGTGGCCTAGCCAGTCTCCAGATCTCAACCCCATAGAAAATCTTTGGAGGGAGTTGAAAGTCTGTGTTGCCCAGCGACAGCCCCAAAACATCACTGCTCTAGAGGAGATCTGCATGGAGGAATGGGCCAAAATACCAGCAACAGTGTGTGAAAACCTTGTGAAGACTTACAGAAAACGTTTGACCTGTGTCATTGCAAACAAAGGGTATATAACAAAGTATTGAGAAACTTTTGTTATTGACCAAATACTTATTTTCCACCATCACATGCCAATAAATTCATTAAAAATCCTACAATGTGATTTTCTGGATTTTTTTTCCTCATTTTGTCTGTCATAGTTGACGTGTACCTATGATGAAAATGACAGGCCTCTCTCATCTTTTTAAGTGGGAGAACTTGCACAATTGGTGGCTGACTAAATACTTTTTTTCCCCACTGTACCTGCTGGAGCGCATACTACGGGTGGGTGTTGCTATGGTGACCAATGAGCTAAGATAAGGCGAAGATTTGCCTAGCAGTGATTTATAGATGGCCTGGAGCCAGTGGGTTTAGCGACAAATATGTAGTGAGGACCAGCCAACAAGAGTGTACAGGTCACAGTGGTGGGTAGTATATGGTGCTTTGGTGACAAAACGGATGGCACTGTGATAGACTACATCCAATTTGCTGAGTAGAGTGTTGGAGGCTATTTTGTAAATGACATCGCCGAAGTGAAGGATCGGTAGGATAGTCAGTTTTACGAGGGCATGTTTGGCAGTGTGAGTGAAGGAGGCTTTGTTGCGAAATAGGAAGCCAATTCTAGATGTAACTTTGGATTGGAGATGCTTA